GGATTTGGGGAAGGGGGGGGATTTGGAGGGGTATGGGGGGGGGGGGGCGCTGCAGTCCTTAAGGTGCATCTGGGTAGCAATAATAACTAAGGCCAGGTCTACACTAAAGGGGAAGGTTGAATTTCATAGCTGGAATTAATGTACTTTGATTAGCAGCTCTCTGCTGTCCCCACAGAAAGAGGCTGACTGGAGCAAACACTCATCAGCTTCCCTTACTCCTCGCAGGAGCAGGAGTACCAGCCAATGGGGGTACCCTCTGAATTCTATTTAGCAGGTCTTTACTTGGTCTAGTTAATCGAACTCCAGGAGATTGATTGTGGTAGTGTTGATCTTCTCCAGAGCAAAGACATGGCCTGAGTGCTTTATCTGTGGCTAGAGCAATAAACACATGTATCCATTTGCCCTCTGTTAAATCACCACAGCACTTCCAGGCTTCTCTGGGGTAGGGATTTAAAAGAGTAGTCAATTAGTCAACTACCAAAGAAGCCTACGCTCATCGAGTAGTCAACTCAACTACTTGCATTTCCCTTCCCTCCGCCCGTCCTCCCTTCCCCCTGCCGTTTGCTGCCTCTATATCAAAGGCAGCAGGGGGTGGTGCTGGAGAACCAGGAGCTGGCTCCCCACAGCACTGTGTCTGTGGTGGGGAGAGAGGGCAGGGGAGAAAGAGGAGCAGTAGTGCTGCGGCTCTGCCTTTTAAATGTAGAAAAAGCCACATGGCTCTTCCTACACATAAACTGCAAAGCCACAGTGGCCCCTTATAGGCTAATTATGCACTCAATACAATTTGTGCCTCTTCCAGCTTCCTTCGCATTGTTTTACGTATTCACATACAATAAAGTTTATCTTTGAATAAGCCTAAATACAACAGGTACAAATGCTAACCCCACATGTGTCGCTAATCAGTACCTTTAGTAGCAAGTACGGCAGCGTCACCTCCAGCTCTGCTATCTGGTGTGCTGGATCCTCATTGTCCCCATGGATTTCCAAGTCCTCCTCTGGTATTGTATCCCATTGCCCTTGATGGGCTGCCAACATGTGCACCAGTTCATACTGCCCAGGTAGTGCCAAACTAATCCGTGTTTGTGTCCCATGTGTGAAGCGGATCCGCCGCCTCTTACAGTTCTCCTCGCTGCTTATTTTGGTGGTGGGTAGCAGCTTTTCACCCAAAAGCATGTTTAGCAATTGGCATTTGGCATTGCAGTTCTGACCAAAGATTAGAAGGCATGGGTGCCAGTTCACTGTCAGCTGGAGGTACTCCTCCTCATGGCGGGGGAAGGAAATGGAAATCAATTGCCCTAGAAGTCAAACAAAGAGATTGCATTAGGAATGCTGGTTAACATATGCAATAGGCAGCTCTATGAATTTGTGCCCTACAGTTCCATATCTATACATCAGCACAGCATTCCTTTCACAAAGGGGAATGCCCTGTAAGGAGCAAAGCAGAGACCTAGGCAGATACTCATGTTTAATAACAAAGTATTCCCATATTTGCACCTTCAAACTATTTTCAGCCAGATTTTGAATTGAATTCATACCAACAACAGATGTCCATTGCATTTAAGACTTTATTTTTGGGCCACACAGGGTCTAATTAGAAAGGTTCTCCTCTCTATTTCTGTATTTACTAAACCAAACTGAATACAAAGTCAATTCCAACTTAAGAGTTAACATTTTGACAAGATCCAGGCTAGCCTGGATAGTGGATGGGGAGGTGGTTGAATGACACAATGTGAAACATCAGATGATGTTTGTAACTTTATTTTTGTGCTTCTACAGGAGCTTGGTAGAGAAACTAAACAAATCTTAGCCTCCCTGGGCTAAGCACCTTGATTTCGCAGGCTGGATAATGGCCCTAAGAGGAAGTCATTTAACCAAGATGTGGCACTTCAGGCCCATACTTGAAGAGGGGGTGCAAAAGCACTCTCCCCAAAGTCCCCAAGTGATCATGCTCCTGCCAGCCAGGGAAAGGGAGACCATAAGAACAGCCATGGGGTCAGACCAAAGGTCCATCTAGCCCAGTATCTTGTCGGTCAACAGTGACCAGTATCAGATGCCCCAGAGGGAGGGAACACAACAGGTCATCATGTGATCCCTCTCCTGTCATCCATTTCCAGACAAACAGAGGCTAGGGACACCATTCCTACCCATCCTGGATAATAACCATTGAGGAACAGCGCACTGCCTGAGCCTCCCTCCTCTCCAATGCTCTGACCAGCCAGGGGAAGGCTGGGGCGGATTTCCCCCTTTATCTGGGGGACCACAGGGGTGCATTCAGACTTGTGGCCCATCTTTACAAAAAAAGCACCCCCTCACTGCAACTCCTGCATACGGGCCTGCACTTGGTACCCTATTTTAACCGCTAGACCACCAGACTTAAAAATTCTTTCTATTTTCAACCTGCATACAATATATTCCCTCACCCTGGCCCAGCACGTGTGATTCACCGATCAG